GAGCCCAGAAACCATCATAGCATACAGCATGAACGGTGAGGACTTACCTCGAGATCATGGCTATCCACTAAGATGTGTTGCGCCCGGTAGGTTATTTTCTCCTTTCATCCACTATTACTTATTCTTCTCTTTATCTAACTTCTTGTGTGGTTGACATTCGTTAATTACCCAATATTAGTTCAGGCATTGTTGGTGCAAGGCAAGTGAAATGGATAAAGAGCATACGACTTAGCGACAAGGAAAGTCCCAGCCATTGGCAGCAGAAAGATTATAGGTACTTTTTTCTCCTCTATTAGAACTTTTTCTTGCTATGTTGAGAAACAGTACCGTACATGTTGCAGAGTTTTCCCCACTAGTGTAGGTCTTCACGACAAACTCGATTGGAACTCTGTGCATTCGATACAGGAGTATCCTGTTCAATCAGCCTTCTGCATTCCAGCGCCTGGTACAAAGGTGAAGAGAGGTAACACAGCTGTATTTTCTGTCCTTCGCTTGTTTCTCAAAGACAGTTTTAATAGTTTCTTGTAATCCTGAATTTGAATGTTATAAGTAGTAGTGCTTTGTAATATTAACAGTCTAAGTTCTTTTTGTCAAAACTTCGTCGCGAGATACCTAAGCTAGTACAAAACCACGGCCAAACCATTACAGGTGAGGAGACATTTGAAGTAGCTGGATATGCTTGGAGTGGCGGTGGTCGTGGTATTATTCGAGTTGAAGTGAGCGCGGATGGAGGCAAAACATGGCAGTGCGCTGAGTTGGAGCAAGACGAGAAGCAAGACCTTGTGAGTTGTTCAAAACTTTTTAGCCAAAAATGTAGGAAATGGGAAAGGTAGTTGTTTTTAACCCTCAAAGAATATGCTTTTTAGGACCATATGTGGGCTTGGACATTATTCCGTGCAAACATCAAGATCCCAGAGAAAGTTAATAAGATGGAATTGGTGGTGAAAGCAACTGATCGGTATTTCGACAAACGTTTCTAAATACCATTTTGTGGAAGTTCTTCCGATCATTGTTTTAGTGCATACAATACTCAACCTGAAACCCCAGTTGGAATATGGAATGTGAGAGGACTAATAAA